AAGGGCAAACCCGTTATATATAATTAACATGTCCCCAACGCAAAAAAAAAAAAAAAAATACATCTTGACAACATCTTCTTGTCGATCATACCTGGAACCCGTACGCCATACACGTTAGCCTCTTGTACACCTGGGTACTGGTTTAAATTATGAGCCACTTCTGTTGTTGCAACATTCTCACCTTTCCATCTGATCGGAAATTAGAAAAAGCATCCCTCTGTTGTTAATTTATTACAAAGCACTGAGATAAATCCTTTCTCTAATTGGTTGGTTGGTAATCATGTGCCACTGAATTATTGGTCAAAACGCGCGGAATGGCCCCACTTCCCCCCAAAGAAGTTCTATTCCACGTGCCGATCACGATTTCATATGCATTGAATATTTGAAAATCACCTGAACGTGTCTCCAAGTCGGTCTTTGAAATATAGGTAACCATCTTTGTCTTGTACCATCAGATCGCCAGTGTTAATGAACGAGTCGCCATCTTTCCTCACATTTCGGACCAGTTTCTTTTCAGTCAATGAACTGTCGCCAAGGTATCCGTCGAAGCGCATTGAAATATCATCGAGACGGACCAACATTAGACCACCTTCCTCTGGCAAAATGTCGGTTAAAAGGATCACAGCTTAGGTTAAAAACAATCACCTCCGAGATCAAAGCAAAATGGTATTGCAGGAACAATATAACGCATTGCCTATGTGTCTGCCTGACCTCAACGATCAGACAGGAGAGCCAGAATCCGGCCCGACCCCCCCCCCCCGAAAAGACTCCTGGATTTTCGCCAGTGCTGAAATAGTACTCGCTGTGTATACATGGAGGTTTATAGGCCTAATGGTGTTCGAAATGAGAAAACAAAGCAAAAACCCTTCGAAGATCCATGAGTACGTCAGACCACAGAAGGAAGGACACAGAAGGAGTTTGAACTGCCCGGGGTGTAACATCTAGCCAAATATCGCTTTTTGGCATGTCTGGTAAGTCTATAGCCAGAGCGCAGCGAACGCTTGCTACGCACCATCTGTTTCACAACCACGAAACCCCTTTGTACCCCATGATTGCCGCTGCATTTGTGATGGTGATCCGCATCCTTAAAACTTCGTATACTGAGGTATAGGAAATTGAATATTCATGTATTTGTTGGTGCTTGGTATGATCAAATTTAATGCTTGCGCAGTTGCTTGCATTACGATGTGTACCTTAAATCTATATGTGCAGTCATTGCCATTGACGAACTCATTCTTCTGGAGTTATTTTGGGGGAAAAAATCCCATTTGTTTACACGATTTTGTGTTTTTTGGAGCCATTTTTATTATGGCATTAGTACAAAAGCGTATTTTATGAGATTTCACGATCACCCCCTGTGATGAAATAGTGATAAGTTTATTGACGATGGCAAAAGTAGGTCTAATAGGAATTGTTCTCTCTCTTGTTCCTGGTCACATCGATAATTTGTATTTAATTGCCAGCAAAAAGCTAGTATAGCTAGGATATTACTGGCCCTGCTTGTCCGGCTAAGATGCAGGCAGTAATCAGGCGTTTTTGGAATGTTGTCTATTATTCGTCTGACTCGGCAGCGACCACCATTGAACACTTTGAAGTGCCTGAGTTACAACTCCTTCAGTCCTTCCTCTGTGGCCAGACCTTACTCACACCGGGGTATTTGAGTCAACGGCTTTTTTCAAATACAAGCACATTTAGCCAGCGACTCAAATAAAGTCACGGGAAGCGACTAGATGAAGTCAATGCAATCAATTATTCCTGACATTGAGACTCAAAACAATAAGAGTTCTGAAGCTGCAGCAACATTACATTATGATTGAACATCAAAATCAAGCCTGAAAAGGGGACCCAGAGGGGGATGTATAGATATCAAGTGAGCGATATTGAAGCAGGACCTGAAGGGGCAGCATAATACCTGGAGGCATGAGAATACATTTGCCGTCTGGACCACGAAGTGGTTGAGCTGTCTCCGTGTCACACTCTACGATTACGATGTAGTCTGTCAACGCCTGCAAATCAAGCAATGAGTGTTCTCCCATAAAACATCATTTTGTATACCACCCGTTCTCGTATAGCGCGTAGGTTTAAAAAAAGAGGGAAATTATTATTCACGAGGGTCCGGTCCGCGCACGGTCAAAATCGTTAATTTTCACACGTCGAATGGGAGTGAAACATATGTGATAAATCAATCAAGGTAGCCCTGCCCACTGCGCATATATGTGCGTATGCTCTGATTCTATAGTACACCCTACGTCGCAACAATGCGCGTCTTATGTGCGAGCGCATAAAGTCGCCTTTCTATATGTACGTTCTTTGGGTGCGTCGCGTACACGATGTGTTCTTGCGTATCGACTTAACAGACACAAAAATTGATTCCATTTACATAACACACGTGTACGTTGCATTCTCCGAGCGATTTTGACAGATATGCAACGACTGGCGCAAGGCTGACGCACATATGTCGCCTTTTTATTTTGCATGTCAGACATAAATCACATGCAACGTGATTGGGTGATATGGCTCACTTCACGACAGAGCGGAATTAATAATTGAGACAGTTTGGTATTCCAACAGCGCATGCCCAAAATCAAGCACGTAGTTCAATGTCATTCGGAAGCGTGCTAAATCTGCCCAATCAACGCGGCCCTATATGCAGACTGTCTCGATTCCGCTTATGTTTTAACTTTTATTGTCTTGGACAAAGACTCGTGACATACCAAAATTAAGACAAAACCCACCCTGAAAATACCATGGTATCTTCCAGCGCTTCCCACTTTGCCGTCCATGTTGACGATGAAGTATGGTAATTCGGTGGCACCGTAGAATTCAGCGACGTGACCGATGTTGAATCGCTTTTGAAATTCTACCCATATATCGGGCCGGAGACCGTTGCCGATAGCGTAGCGAATTTTGTGAGAGTACTTGCCGTCATCCGGTCGCTATTCATATGGGGAAAAGGGCAGAAAGTTTTACATGAGAAAGTATAATTTGGAAATGGAAAGCGGGAATCACCAGTGCGTCACAATGCCCCAAAATGCCGAGGCAAATGTTTTAACTGTGAATTGGATATTCGGCAATGACATGCCAGAATTCCACTGCTTCGGGTTTGGGACTGCTGGCAGTCAATCAGGTCAACAAAGCAAGGTTTGGATAGCAATCGTATTAATTTGGCTTTGCGCAGGCAGATATCAATTTTTAATAAATTTTACATTTATTCGCAATGTGTTCGCAGTGGATGAGATACAAAAGCTTTGATAGATTATAAAGTGGTAGTTCAGTAAAGAGAAGGGAAAAAAACCTGATTCAATTTTGTTCAGCTGAAATAAAACAAAATAAACTAGAACCTGATTACAGTTTCTTCAGACTATCCTGTAACCAGGTCAAATCAAAACTGGTCAGCCATGCCTAAATTCAAGAGACTGGAAGAACGACAAGTATGTAACCTTCAACTTTCCGCTGATAACACCGAGGGCATTTTTACCGGTGGCTGTGCGAGGAGGTAACGACAAGTCTCCCCGATGTACTGAATCACGGTGGCGCGGTATCTGCGGACGTCATCCCAAAATCTCCGAACGGAGAAATTAGCCAGAGCTACGGTACAGCCTGAAAGACAAAAAAATAAGGAAATTAGTAAGGGAAACCTGCAGTGAGGGGTAACCCATGGATCATGTACTGTGGAAATCTACATATGAAATATCCTAGCTCTAGAATTACTGTTATTGGAAGACCGCAGAACACATTATGACCGTCATAAGACAGTGATATATCCAGGTCTTGGGGGAGCCAACATTACTTTTTTTTGTTAAAATGACTTTCTAAACATTTTGCAAAGCAATCTTCCCCCACCCGAAAGTGGTTGCCTTGTCTCCTAAAATCCTGGCTCTTTCACTTGCTAAAAATAGCAACACATACCTGAGGGCTTTCGTGCCCCGCCACTTGCGCTGCATACGCCACTACTTAGGAGGAACCGGTGCATCCAAGGCGTATTGGCAAAGCAAGTGAAGTCATGGAATGAGTGATCCGTGGTTTGAAGTTAACAGATACAAGTTAACGATGTCTAGAGAATTCTACCTTTTTCGAAACTGGAGAGCGTTATTAGTGGCGAGTTGGACGGGACGCCTGACGATGTACGTAATGAGGACTGAGCTCAAATGTGTTGGGTGTGATTACATGGTTATTGTAACGAGCTCGAGCTGTAACGGTGGGCCGTTGATTTGTTTTTTATCACGAATCTTACAAAATTAATGACACCTTTTATGATGATTGATTCTGACGCTTACCAACTCGTATGACATTAACGAGACCCACGTTTAAGGCAGCGCTGTGGTAAAGAGGCAGTGACGTGTACATGACGTCATCCTTAGCCAGTCCAAACGAATAGTGTATGAAGGAAGTCCGGACTTGGCGGTAATGCGGTATCTTCGCTGGCTTGGGGAGACCTACAAGAGTGATACAGAATCAGACTTCAGTTTGGGTATCAGACACGCAGTAGATCATTAATTTGTGAGCTCAACATTTGTCTGCGTGTTCGCCTGCAGGCAAGGCAATCGTTGAATCCTCTGAGGGTCCTACAGCGAAGACCATCGAACGATGGCAGAAAAGCGTCTGGTTTGAAGTAAATTGGTAACGTGACCTCGCTCAGTTGGTCATGAATATCTGAAATGTGGTTCCTGAATATGCTGCCATCTCCTATACACAGTGTAAGCGCTAAGCTTCCGGTAAACACATCCGTATTCGGTGCGCCCCGTGTCCATGAGCAAAAGTTAGAGACAAGAGTGTTAAAGGAAATTGTACAGGAGTGAACGAAATATTCCGGACATGGGTACGCAGTGGACCAAAAAGACGTGCCTAAATTAGGGAAAGACACCTTTAACCGTAAAAGACGTCCGATCACCCCCTAAGAGTCCCGGTGGGCACTAAGGCTTTACAGACGCTCATTTTGAGTACCATGGGCGGAAATTTATTGTCATGTGGAGGGCTGATTTCTGAAGACTCAGCACGCCCTCCATCCCAGGTGAGCTTGTGAGTTGGTGCTGCAGACTTCACGTGCCCATATAGCGTGTGAGTGTGTATGTGAGTTTGTTTTTGCATTCAACTGGGGACCCTGAACAATAGAGGACAATAAGGTCCCCAATTGACAACTGTGTACAAAACATATGGGTGGTCTTCTAAAAAACAAACAAAAGTACAAACAAAAGAGGAACAATAGGGAGTCCCCAGTTGCAGGCAAATACACACTTGGGTGTGTGTATGGGGGGAGGTTGTATGGGTAATACCCCACCTGAGTGGGTAGGGAGATATATCCCACATCCTCCTAGGGATATCCGCTCATTATGAGTACAATCTGTGACGTTTGGATTTAAGCACGTCAGTAAAAAAACCATACATTTTGGCTGTAACCTGTCTCAGGAAAATGAGCGTTTCGGGGTATACCCCCAAATTTTACAAAATTAGTGTGAAAATAGCAACAAGACATTGCTGGAGAAATACCTTGTTTGACGGAAGGGAAAGTGCATAGCAACCACAATGGGTAAAATTGTTAAGAAAAACTCACCGGTCGTTCCTGAAGTGAAGATGTACAGTGCGTCATCAAAGTTAGACATGCCCTCGCGTTCGCTCCGCGGTATGGGATCACTGCGCTCGTTCCACGTCTGAACACGGACCATCCCCTCAGGAATGGGCTGTTTCTCCCGGTCTCCAATGATCCATACTCGGATGCCAAGCATCTGCAGTTCACGCAGGATAGCCTCTATGGAGTCCATCAAACGTTGATCTGTATCAGGAAAGAAGTTGGGAAAGGTTCTCATTGTGACACAACCTGATCTAAGGCCTAATTGTTACTTAAAGTTACAACTTCATTATCCCCCACAATCCTTTATCCCCTGTTCCCGGCACAAATATACGCCACTCCCTAAAACTGCCTAAATGTCCACTAGTTCCTTAATTAACCGTTCCTTGATTGCAGTAAAGAATATATATATTTTCAAGACCCCCTCCCCCAAAAGTCGGTCTGGAGTCGTGAATGGTTAGGGTGGATGAAACCATTAAACACGCTCAGCCCTGTCTTCGACCTGTGATAACTTTGTGCTAAATTGTATTATAAGAAAGAGTATAAATACCATCCCATATAGCCACGAATTAGCTCCTCAGATCAGAATATGTGGACAATATTTTAGTTTCCAGGTGAATGCGGCCCTTTGTTTATGGAACTGATTTATATATTTGCAAGCTAATTTCAGTTTCTTTAAGTGAGGATATAGGCTAAGTCCTGACAGGATTACGGAGATTCACATACCTGCACCACAGATAATCGCTTTCACATTACAAGCTTTGATACAATGGAGGAGTGCATCACCTGTCAGGTGATAGTTCAGAAGAGCAATCCGCAGGCCGAGCTTGTTGAAGGCCAACCAGGAGATAACGAAACTGGGCTCGTTCATTATGAATATCCCTACAGTGTCCAAGCACATCACGGCCTTAGTTCCCTTCACAAACCGAGCCAGTTTGTTAGCCTCTTTGTCCACTTCTCCGTAAGTGTGCAGCTCGTCTTGGTACAAGATGAACACCTTCTCTGGTGTCTGCTTGGCGTGTTCCTCGAAGAAATCGACGAGTTTGACGTTCTTCTGCTGGAACGTGGCCAGTAACTTTTGGAGACGCCTTCTTTGCCAAATGCTGGCCAGGTCTTGGAAAACCGTGGGACCGTACTTGAGGCGAAGGAAAGCCACGGTTGCCAGCGGCAGCCCCGTAAGGGTTGCCACTGCCGTCATCCCAGCCACTTTATTACCAACAGGGAGAGGCATGCCTTTTTAGCAGTTGGAAACTCAAAGACTCTAGCCGAAAAAATGTCCGAATCAGATCGAGATCTGCAGTACTTATAACGCCTTGGGTTTTTGTTTGGACCTACAACCCAAGGTCCATCGGTATGTTTACACTTGGGATATATATCTGCGTATTGTCACTGCTCTTTACATTTGGCATAATCTGGCCAAGACTGCACATTGGTCCCAGATGCAGCGTGAAACGAAGACCCCATAAACAGCGTCTCCTTGATCATGCGCTAGGTAAGACTATACTTCGGAGATGTCAAGTGACCACATTTCAACGACAGTCCAACTTATTTGCACGACACAGTGTACATGTATGTACAGCTATACGGTCAATTCCAAGTCCGAAAATAACAGCACACGTCGAAAACTGCAACGCAAAGCAGAACTTTATCGCTTTATTGCCTACTCGTTATTTTTTGGGGGAGGAACTTTTATCATCAGACTTTAGTGGGGCATAACGGAACCAGGGCGTCCACTTTTAGCATGCTGTTATCTCGAACACGTTGAACAAACAATCATTTCGATAACTCCGATCGAAGTCCCAAATAAAACTGGTAGCGTCGGTGCCGGATGACTGATGGGGACGGTACGCATCCACGATAGAGCCATTGGAGCCGTGTGCCGGGCCCCTACCTGTCAGCCCGGGAGGCTAGCTTTTTTCCGTAGCGGGCTGTGTCAAAAAACATGAGGCCTACTGCTGAACTGAACTCCAATGACCCAGCATATACCGCCTGCGCACAGTGTGCGTTCACTGTGACCGCGATCCCATCACGCCATGCTGATTTTCTGCTGCACTCAGGCACAATTTTGATGAACGCAAACAGTCCGAAGCCAGCATTATTTACGTCAGAAAATTTAAACTATCCTAAACACTGAAAACTCGGTTGTGCATTTCTTCTCCGTATAATTAAACTTAAGTAGTGTTTTATTCGGTTGCAGTACAAAATAACGTGCGTGCATGTGCCGTGTTTCTTGGCTTGGTTTTGCGAAGAAAGATCATGGAGGTAGTGGCCACGTCGACAGCAAACACGCCCCGATCACGCCGATGCAGGATCCGCAGGTCTGGCTGCAGTGAAAATCTAGTCGGTGTTTAGTGCTGCAGTAAACTGCATTTCATTTACTTGATAACTGTGAATAAACTAAAGCAAAGGACACGTATAAACATACTTTATCCCGCTTCAAAATCATTTGCATTCATTGAAGCGCTTCCTGTTGTATTTGGTTCTGCGTCTTACCGTTCATTTAAATAAGCTGTTGTCAAGGATCGGGTTAAAAATACATGTATGCTGTCTTCTTCAAATCTGGATCCAATATGCACAATTGTTAGAAATCTTTCTTCTGATGCTGTGACTGTCGAAATTGGATTTCTTTTTCTACACAGGAATAGAACTTGATCATACCATGAATTAAACCAAACTACAGTGCATACAAACTATTCAGAAACTGATGAGGACACTAAGTCTCTAGGATAATTGAAGTGAATTAAACAGAGATGGAAATTGACATTGGACTTGTTTTTAGATAAAAAAAAATAATATGTTTACCAACATTAATAAAGGCTAGTCGACTTCAAAGGACAATACACGTTTTGCAACAATCCAAAATGTAACCAACAAAGTTATTGTTTGAACTTAATTCTATTATATTCTCAGCATATGAAGCATTCACGGAATAAAATTTCACTTAATCAAACTGCGGTCATAATGCACACACGTACAATGTGCACAGGTAGCATATACAGTGAAACACTGATATTAACTAGGTCGTTGGGACTTTACAAATTACCTCGTTATAATAGTTACCTGGTATTGTCAGTGCTGGAAAGAAAAGACTTGGGAGCTAAAATTTTCCTTGCTATAAATGTGACCTTGTATCATAGGCCGTGTCAGTAACGGGCTTTCAAATCTACGGCTAGGTCTATTGCCTACGCGTTTCCACGCATTTCTAATGGAGCGAAGACCTAGACCTACCTCTAGACAAGAGATTTGGATGCAGCCATAGCTCCACATGCTGGTAATAACAGTGCTCTTCTTCGACCGTACATATATGCTGAGTCATTACAGTTCAGTTGAGCAATAGGCCTCATGAATAATAATGGCAATAAACTAGTTGAAGATATTTCGCACTATATGTAGGGGTGTGTTTTGTGTTTTGTTTTTTGCATAGAACATATGCTGTATTTTAACACGTTGCATATCAGAAGAAAAGGTATCAGCAATATCATTCGATTTTCAGAGCTTTTAATAAATGTCATCGAAGTAAATTTTAATATCCCAATTCAAGCAGTTTTCGCTATATCTTTCTGAATCATGCAGTCTCTGTACATGTATTTTATTTCAGTGTTCATAGCTTAGCATTTCCAGTGACAATCTTCCGCTTGGCTTCGTTGTCCAAGGGTGTGTAAGTCTTCTTCTCCACATCCATAAAGAAGAGGGGGGTCTGTCAAATCCCTCTTGGACAAGGTCAGTTTTTTGTGCTTGAATGTCCCTGTGATATTCATCTCTTCCAGGATTGGAAGAAACTTAGGACATGTGTAAAGGGCAGTGACTTGACCACGTGATCGTAGAAGGCGTTTGGGTCGAGTTGATGCCCTTCTTTGAAGAAGACTGCCGCCATTCCTGCCCTACTGTCGCAACCTAATTCGAAGTGAAAAGGATTATGGCTACACAGACGTTGAAATGGGTGCTACCGACATCAAAATATACCCATGCTCTCCGCGTCCCTCTAAAACTCGAACTCCACGGCCAACCCAGTCAAAGTCTTTGGCCGTCTCTTATACTGTTTTGTTCGTATTCATACGCAAAGAGTTACTTACCAAGTAAATTATAGAACAAGTAATGTGAGCTTCAATTAACACGTCACCAAAATATCACATAATACGAGGGGTGATTATTGTACATGACAATATTTGTGACATATTCAGTTAGTTATCTAAAATAAACATTTGGACTTATTTTCCTGGTGGAAGTCTACCTAGTACAACCAGTCCTTGTGCGCGAGAAGCACAAGGGTCACCAAGTAACAATTACTTGACATACAAACATGCAAATAACCCAGATACAATATCAGCTACACAATATGCATATTCATGTTTAGAATTCAAACAGGGAGGTCGCCCTTGCTAAGGCACGGTCTCCTACATCATTTTAATGTTCATAATTTGGCCTTCCCCACGAGAATTTTTTGAAAGGTTTCCTTGTCCAAGGGCGCGTACGTTTTCTTTTCGTCATCCACGAAGAAGAGCGGGTCCGATATGACATTGGGGTCAAATCCCTCACGGGCAAGGTTAGTCTTCTTGTGCTTGAATGTCCCCGTGATGTCCATCTTTTTGATGATTCGAAGAAACTTTGGACATGCGAAGAGCGGCAGTGACCTGAACACGTGATCGAAGAAGGCCTTCGGGTCAAGCTGATGCCCCTCTTTGAAGACTACTGCCGCCATACCTGCCCTCCCGTCGCAACCTAATTTGAAGTGAAAAGGCTGAGTTCAAGGAACAAATTCTCCATGGAGAAAAGACTTGAAAAAATTATGACCAATTTCCATATGAAGTAAGAAAATTCTTTTGTTTTGTGTGGTAATTCCTCTTTTATTCTTTCTCTCTACTATGGTAAAAAGAGAATATTTAAATGTAAATCATGCTTGCAACAAAAGTCACTTTTACCTGGCACCTTGACGCCGTACACATTGCTTTCTTGTATGCCTGAGTATTGGTTCAAGACATGAGCTACTTCTCTTGTTGCAACATTTTCGCTTTTCCATCTGGAAGGACAGAATTTTGTTGTTAATATTCATGCTGTATCACCTCAAACTGGTAAAACGTGTATCATAAAGAACCCACCTGAATGTGTCTCCAAGTCGGTCCTTGAAGTACAGATAACCGTCTTTGTCCTGTACCATCAGATCTCCAGTGTTGAAGAACAAATCACCATTTTTCTTGACATCTCGGACAAGTTTCTTCAACGTGCTCGCCTCCGAAACGTAGCCGTGGAAGTGGGAGACATCGACCAGCCGAAAAAGCATGAGCCCCATCTCGCCTATACGAGGAGCAAAAAGAGGGCTGCCTCTTTGGACATGGTATAACAATTAAGAAAACAATTAAACAGATCATTTAACAGTTTTGTGAGTGTCAAATGCCTGGACGCGGACTGGTAATTATAAGCAATGTAATATCGAAGAATGTATAATTGGTTTTGAGATATAAAAAGTGTGTTGGATGTTACACACTGGGGAAGAATCTTACCTGGAGGTGTCAGGATGCATTTACCGTTTGGACTACGAAGCGGTTGAGCTGTCTCTATGTCACACTGAACAAGGACTATGGCGTTCTGGAGTACCTATGGGGGTAGTTGAATGAAAAGGAGACATCAAAGTCGCTCGTCTTTGAACTTCACTTATCTCTAACATTTCCTTATTGCCCTCCATTCCTCGTACGGGATTCTTCAATACACTGATATAGGCGACTCAAGTTAATAATTCGACATTAAATGGTTGAAAGAGGTTGAGAATATTTTACACCCTCGCGCTGTGACAAAAACTGCAAAGTTTACGCGGACAAGGTTGGAAGGAGAATTGACGGGATTAATCTGTTGTTCATCCAGACATATTATAGTTGATTTGCAGCAAGTTCACAGGATTTTTCTTGTACCATAGGTCAGACAAATTATCTTGCCGGGATGGCAAATGTTCTGCCATAGACATTAGATGTAAAGAGCATTTCAACTTTTTCTTTTCATTTTTTAAAGTGTAAACAGGTTTTGGTAGAGGGAGACCAAATGAATGGTTAGGCCTTGAAATTTCCGACGTTGTAAATGCAATATTCTCACCTTATAAACGAGAGGATACCTTCCAACGCTTCCCAATTTACCTTCCAGATTTGTCGTAGTGTGTGTCCCATCGGTGGCCCCGTAGAATTCAACAATGCGGCCAATGTTGAATCGCTTTTGAAATTCTTCCCAGATATCAGACGATAAGCCCAGGCCGACTGCATAGCGGACCTTATGATCATATTTCCCGTCATCTACTCGCTGTTTAAGGTGATAAAAAGCGGAAATTCCGTTGGGACGGACATTCCAGCCATTAGAACTTTACAGGGTAAACTTGTCGATAGTTAGAACCTGTAATAAATGTGTAATAATAATGCTGAGGCCTACCTGTTGCTGCGCCATCAGGTAACGGCACGTCTCCCCGATGTAAAGGATCACTGTCGCTCGGTACCTGCGAACCTCATCCCAGAACCGTTGGGCCGAGAAGTCACTGATGACTACAGTACCCCCTTTGATGAAGAAGGATGGAATGGTTTAGCTAGAGGTGTCACCTAATCTACCACATCTCCGAGAGTGCCAATTTATGGACAAGTTAGATCAGCGACAGACTTTCAACCAACAGTCCATCTTGACTGGTAAACCATATGCATGAAATATACACCGGGAACCAGGCCCAATCGACAAGTGGTTCACAAACTGTCGCTGATCGAACTTTTCCTTTGACGCCCTCAATCTGCCACGTCTCTGAGAGTGCCATGTGCCGTCTTAATAAAAACTTGACACCCCAAGCACCAAATCCCCGAAGTACCCACCGACTCTAATGACATTCTGCAAGCCCACGGTGAAACCCATGCTGTGGTAGAGAGGCAGGCAGACGTACACTACATCATCTTTAGTCAATCCAAGCGCGGCTTGAAAAAAGGAACCACTCAGTTGACGCGTGTGGGGCACCCTTGCCGCTTTGGGAAAACCTATATTGGAAACAATCGGTCTCGTAAGTGTAGCCAGGTATCGATTTGAAGCTACAAACACCAGTGACATAGGTTATATTTGTATATTAGAAGATAATTAGGCACAGTACCAATTTATATCTTTTCTATGCGCCGGCTTTCCTGTCTTGTGTATCAAGCCAACTATTATTTAATCTTTGCATTTTCGGAAGTTTATTTTATGAGGACGTGTCTTACTCTGACTTTATTCTGTTATTGTTGGCACATTTTTTTTATCTAGATTTCGGCAGGGTTTGTTTTCTGGGGTGTGGCTTTTACATCAGCATTGACCGTACAGCGGTGGATTGGGAACTGCTCGAATGAAACCTTCCATCATGCAAGTCCACGATGGAGGGTTCCACACATTCCCACGAAACGTTTTAAAGAATAGGCCGAGTTCGGACGGATTGTTCCCATATGTTCACGAACAGTTCGATTTGTTGTTCGTGGGTCGGCCGCTCGAACGCTGGGAACAAACAACCGGTTATCGCTGGTAGTTAGTGACAAGCAACATGCAACATGGTGGCGTCCATGTAGGCCTAGGCTACGATATTCGAGAGTTAATGTTTGGATGGACTTAATTCTTTTCTATGTAAACGGGAACATTCATTTCTGTGTTATGGACAAATAAGTAATGTTAATTTTGCAAAACTTCCCATTGTCTTTGGCTTTGGAAGCCACACTCTACTTTTTGCAACTGTTCAAAAATGACAATCTCATGAGTTTTTTCTGTGTGTTCCTGTAAAACCCTAACCAGGAGGTGGTATGTGATCCTTGTCACCGCTAGCTAATGATCAATCTGGTTCTGCAATGATGACCCCCAGATCCGAACATAAATCAAGAACAGCTGAATGAATGAAAAGAGACCAATGAATTCTTTTTAAATTTGCACTGAATTTTGCCAAAGCTCGATCTGATCGTGCCGTCACAAATCTCTCACTCAGCTCAGCTTTCACTTTAGGATGTTGTCAGATTGAGAATCAAAAATCTTCTGCCAACACTCTCATACACACCAAACTCAACTCCAAAAAAAACTACACCATCCTACGAATACAGATAAAGAAATTAGTGGGGAAAAAACCGGACCCTAACACGAACAAAGACAAAAGTATGTTTGGACAATAACCATGGCCGGTGGTTTTACGTAATTCATAGCAACGAAACTGCGCGTCTCTCGATCGCGATTAAGACGCCCGATCCGTGATCGACGAAGTTCTACTGGCTGCTAGGAAAACAAGCGCGAAATTTTGATTGGTTAAAGAAGTGACGCGTAAGAGAGCGAGACTATTTGCTGCCAGGGGAGAAATTTAACAGACAAAAACAACAAATAAATAAAACTACCAATATTTTCAGAGGGATCTTAACAATCCTGTTCCGAGAACAGTGTTCTTGAGTCGTGTTCCCGCCGTTCGAGCGCGAGAACAAGAAACCCGTGTCAAGAATAGGCCGCCCGAACTCGACCTTACTGTGTGTGGTTTTCCCACATTTGGGTTTAGCTAATACTATAGCAATATTTCACTTGGGAGCATTCCACTCTGTACACTTCTATAATCAATGTTCTCCCGTGGTTAACTGCAAATCCATTATTCCAACACTTGGGGACGTGCTCTATACATAAAATAACGCCCCTCAATTTTAATGATAATTTTGGTGCAAAAACTGCAGTATAATCAATTTGCCAGTCTCCATAGCGTCATTCATTGGTGAAAAGAAAACACGTTAAGGATTCAAATGGCACAAAATGAACAACTCCAACTGTGCTACGAATGCAGAACTGCTTGCCTACCTGTTGTTCCCGAAGTAAAGATATAGAGTGAATCGTCCAGGACCGGCTGCTGATCTCGCACACTCCTTGGTATGGGATCACTGCGTTCCTTCAGCGTCTTCACATCAACAGGAATCATTCCCAAGGGAAGACCCTCATCGAGATCCTTCCCGACAACCCAGACCTTAACACCAAAGGCTTGGAGCTCGGGCATTAGGTCAGCGAGAGCTTGCACTAGTCGCTTATCTGGAGGGAAACTATAACTGATAGCAAGAGTCTAAAGGTGTGTGCTCGAGTAGGAGACAAGGAACAAAAATTACAGAACAGTGGCAAGCCTGATGGGTACAGGGATCAAAAATGAACTGTTTCAAACTGCGACCAAATTCATTGACTCACACTGGAACATGAAGCCCAGAGGTTTGAGATTGCATATTAAGTTATTTTACAAGCTCCAAAATATATAATGATGAAACATGAATGGAATGTGAGGGTTCTATAACATGTTTATACTTGCGTATAACACTTGTATACTTATTACTTATATATTACTTACCGTTTCCGCACGCAATCATTTTCACATTACAGGCTTTGATAGAGTAAAGGAGTCCCCTGCCTTTAAGATTGTAGTTAATCAGCGCTATTCTTAGCCCCAGCTTGGCAAAAGCCAACCAGGACACGACGAAACTGGGTTCGTTCCGGATGAATATGGCCACTGTTTCCATGCAAGCTGCCACCTCGCTTTGCTGGACAAAGTGGGCGAGTTGGTTAGCCTGTCTGTCCAGTTCACCGTAGGTGAGTAACTCATCTTTGTGCAAGACGAACTCTTTATCCGGGGTTTGCTTCACGTGTGCCTCAAAGAAGTCAATGACTTTGAAATTTTGCTCCACCAGGGCTTCTACCTCTTTCTTCTGTTGCTGTTCTTTCTGAAATGCCACCAGGTCTGCAAAGACTGTTCGGCCGTATTTCAGACGCAGAAACCCGGCAACAGCGACGGGAAGGCCCGCTATAATCGCAGCAGCTGCACCGAGTAATCGGCGATTGATCGGAGTGTCAGACATTCCGATCAAGCAATTAAAGTCTATTATATCGTTTCTTTTCCAACTCAGGTTTGCTCAAGCTCTGCCCACACCGTAAAGCGCCTTTTGGACGTTCACTGAGGCTTCAGAGCATTTAAAAAAAAAAAAAAAAGAATACTCAGCAAAAGCAAATTCAACACTCAGGTGTACATGTCATGGGGACTGCAGATCACAGAACCCATGTCACTTAACTGCCCATGCAATTGCATTATCACCAACTCTTGTTCAGAAATGGAGATTAACTACCTCATGGTCCCTTTGAATGTTTTCGTTCGGCGCGATCCGTTGAGGCTGCGTGATTGATTACTCGTTGTGCTTAATTTTGAAACAACATCCACAGATCCGTCCAGCATTAATCAAAGGTACAACCGTTGTGCAATAGTTATTGGAAGATAAAATCGAGTCTAAGATTTCCTCCAGCAGACACGGTCCAAGTTCAGGAAATGGAAAGTACGTGGGCCCGAGAGGTAGAGGCAGTATCACAACTGGAGAAAGGCACACTTATGATAATTTATGTTTACGTCACAATGTGGCTCCCGGATATGGTGTCAGTGCTGGCAAAGATGAATGTACCGTACTCTTCACCACTCCACATACATATACATGTACATGTGCAGTACATGTATATTGTGAACAGCTTGTGTGTGCATGTGGCTGCGTGCCCGTTACTGAGAGTATGTTGCAATATTTATGAATGCCAGTGACTCCAAAAGACTTAGCTGTGATCCAAATAGCGACGTAAGTATAAAAATGTCACCAGTGACGTAATTGGGGTACATTTTGATGGGAGGGGCACTTTGGGCCGTCATTTTCGGGGGGGGGTGGGAGTACGCAATGGGGCTCAGTCACAGCATGGAGCAATGTGTTTTATTTCTCCATGGTCACAGTAAAACAAGTTAGCCAAGTCGGAATTTTTCCTCCTTTAATTTGGGGGCACACGTAGAGCACAGGCCTGAGTGGCAGTTAATCCACTGAAGTGCACCTTCCTCCAGTTGTGATACTGGTTATCACTGTTCGCAATCTTTTTCATAAATGTATTTCCACCATAATCCTATAGGCCAAGGAAAGTAAATGATACATGTATCCCAGACAGTTGATGTGTTCAAAACAGTTATTAGCGCCCTCTGTAAGGCAATCGTCACTAATTTTTGGAAGTGAGTTGCCAATGGCGCTTCATGTACTGTTATGAAAAGCAGAGACCATCATCCGTTCCTTCATTTACAAGACCCCTGCATTGTTTATGAAGTCCATGCACAGTAACTCCTCCAGCAAATTATGAATTTGAAAAGGAAACAAGAAAACTGCTCGGTGGATTGATCACATGGCTGTTCTATATGTGGCATTTGTTTATATCTTTAAATCTTCTTTCCCCCTTTCTCTCCCCACATCCCACCTCAATGCCACAGGCAAATTTTAGTTCCGCCCTGTATTTTTGTCAGTTTTTTGGCACATAGACCTGCATCTTACTTTTATCACAACAAAGTAGTCCGGGTGTTTCCCAAAGAATGGTTCACGATGACACAATCAGGCGTCAAATTACAACAGGTTCGGTGGTTTGTATACACACTTTGAACCCAAACTGATGAGTGATGGCAAACCATTACCGCTGGAGTTTTGCATCATTGACCATGTGACTACAAACATCTGACCGAAAGTTGCCAGCAGTGTCTTCACAAAGCGTTGAATGCACTATATTACGTTTAGATCCAATTAAGAGAGGCTGTTGTAAAGAAACGGTTGTAATCAACATACTTTTCTTGGGCCTGAAATTGAGCAAATGGTGAATCAGATGAGACTTCCCCGTCTGAAGTTCGGAACCCGATAACCATCAACCTTTGCCGAGAAACACTTATGCACACTTGAACACATCAACATCTGCTTTAACAAGAAATGAGACAGCTCATGGTACATGTGGAACGCTGGCAAGCAGAGTGTCTGGAGATACTAGACTCACAGTCGGTGTAGCAGGCTTTCATTGATATTGAAAGATCTAATTGTGGTTGTCTATCTTTTAAAGCACTGCGTTTAAGTCATTAATATTCTGACTGTACAGTGAGTAAAATGTCCAGGTTAGAAAACTGGAGGGAAATGTACTTTCTATTGGTTCAAAGTGGGGAGGTGAAGTGAGATGTGTAGAAAAGTGCAAAAAAGTGCCATCCGTTGCGTACACAACTCACATACCTTGGCTACAAGGTTTTTTGGGGAGACAGCTAGGGGCACAGGCGTCTGTATCTCCCCCCCCCCGTGATGTTACTGACTTTAACTCGGCAGCATCAACAAACCGATGATATACACCAGCCGCTTTGCCCGGCACTGCTCGTATCTTGTGCAATTTGCAATGGTGTGTTATTGACGGAATTCAAACTACACTCGCGTTGTGATTTAACTAACAAATATGCATTACATACAATTGATCTGGAACTTTTTTTTTCAGTTGTTAGCTCCACATTAAAATAAACAAAATCAGTCTAAGGAAAAAAGAGGGTACTCGAGTTGGCGAACTCGGGAAAAATCAAGCCATACTGACAAAAAAATCTTTTACATTAAGACGTTGAACGAGCCTATTTGCAGCAAATACAAATTACGTATGCAAATAATATTAATATGCAGGCTTACTATCCGAAAAATTAATGGGGCTATTATTTGTCATTTTTGGCACTTTTTATTTTTCACTGTTATCACCACAGGTAAGTCTACTTCCTGTACGACGTCAATTATATAGACATTAGACCTAAACTGCAAAAAAAAAATAAATAAATAAAATAAAAACAAACGAACAAACAAACAAAACACGGAAAATGGCACTTGTGATTACGGACAAGACAGTATGCCTTTAAAAGTCAGTAATTTACTTTCACTTGTAATTTAACTTGGACTGTCACTTTAAGTTTATATTTGTTTTCTTTTACAGGGTGTTGCAAGATTATTAGAACCCGAAAATATAACTGGAATCTGGTTTCAGCTTTACCATGCTCGAAGTTTTCCTAGCAATTTTGATCATGGAACCGGTGGACCCAAACTGAATATACACCTGATCGATTATGCACAACATGTCATTTGGGCACTTTCGGCAAAGTGCAAAACAAGTAAATATTGCCTCTGTTGAAAGAAAGGAGCAATTCCAATTAAACTGACCCTTCTTTCTGTTCTCCACCAATTAAAATTCTCGAAAAAATCCCAGAGTCTTACAGTGTTCTTGTAATATTTGTTTCTTAATTAATATTGACATACATATGTTAGGGAGCATATCAAAATTCGGAACAGGAATGATCACTGGACCGTTCCATCTGTGTACCCGTCGAAACGGAAATCGTTCTTTTCAACTGTTCCATCAGAACGATCTGTTAGACCGTTCCCCTAGGCATTATGTGCTCGAAAAGTATGGAAACGTCCAATGGAACAATAAGAACAGCTGTTCCCAGTCGGCGTTCAGTTGAGATAACCGACCGTGCCCATTGGAATTGCTGACATGTCCAACGGAACATTTCCTGTTCGAACTTTAATGGGATTTGACATCCACTTAGCATTCAAGCAAAGCAATATCTTGGCATGTAAAGTCTCTGTATCTATCATACATGTGTACCAAGTAGCAGATTATTTCACTTCGTGTCCAGGTATTCTGATATACGTACATCAATTTGGTTCAAAGTCCCTTGATTTTCGAGTGCAAATTTTTAAAGTGACAGTTTAATGCTATTAAGTCAGTACAAGAAACACCTCGAGACCAGATAAAATTGTAGTAATAGTTGAGAACGACCACAACCTTCGAAGCATGTATCTCACTGTCTACAGCCTTGCCTGTCCAATGACAATTCTTCGCATGGCGTCCTTGTCCAAGGGTGCGTAAGTCTTTTTCTCCTCATCCAAGAAGAAGAGAGGGTCTGACATGACATTGGGGTCAAATCCCTCTCGGGCAAGGTCAGTCTTCTTGTGCTTGAATGTCCCTGTGATGTCCATCTTTTCCATGATCCGCAGAAACTTTGGACATGCGTAGGACGGCAGTGACCTGACCACGTGATCGTAGAAGGCCTTCGGATCAAGACGATGTTCTATCTTCAAGACGACTGCCGCCATACCCGCTCTGCCGTCGCGGCCTGAAATAGATTGAAATTTCAGATTTTCTGTTTTAAATAATAACAGCCTACAGGTTAACGACTGACATGATGTCATTCTGGCCAAAAGTCAAACCAACTTAAAAATCACAATAATATACCATTTGGGACACGTTCATACCAAACCCAAATATTGTGGACACTAAATCAATATTTTCAGTTCTACAGCTGAAGAAATACATTCTACAAACTGCATGCTTTTACCTGGTACCTTGACGCCATACACATTGCTTTCGTCTATGCCCGGGTACTGATTCAAGACAAGAGCTACTTCTGTTGTCGCTACATTTTCGCCTCTCCATCTAAACAGAAAAGGGCGTCGTGGTCAAAACTTAAGCCTTTCTCAATGTGAAAGACTGATATCGCGTAGAAAGAGCAACCGTTTATACCTTACCTGAATGTGTCTCCAAGTCTGTCCTTAAAATATAGGTAACCATCTTTGTCGTGTACCATCAGATCGCCAGAGTTGAAGAACAAGTCACCGTTTTTCTTGACATTTCTCACAAGTTTCTTTGCCGTCTCTGTCTCCTTTGCCAAATAACCGTGAAAGGCAGTCTCATCAGTGAGCCGAAATAGCATCAGACCAGTCTCACCTGCACAAATCCAAATAGTTTTCATGATGACATGTTGTGGTTAGACTGACAACGAGCTGATGTGGGGTACACTTAGAAAATAAGCCAATCGGACCATTGAAGGTAAAACTCAAAATTGTATTGCTACTTTTGATATAGCCTGCAAATGTTTTGTACACAGCATAGTAAGAAATTTATCAAAGCAGGCACGAAACTGGGGTGGGGATCTTGGGATCCCTCAGGGTCATTTTTCTTTCAGGGGCATGGGTCTAAAGGTTGGAAGACCCCCTAAAAAGCATCCTCCACGCAGGGATCTAATTTTGCGTGTGAGGTTAAGCACAAAACTAAAAGATTAAATCCATTTAAATAACATCTTTTTATCATCGTCGACAAAATACATGTACTAATCCTCTCCCTGTCCGAACAAAAATTTTCTTACCCCATCCCCCTAAAAAAAAAGTCCTGAATCTGACCCTGCGAAGGGATGAGGGTTATTGAAAAGGTTGAGAATAATTTGAAGAGCTCCGAGTCGAGAGGTGAAACACTGGAATGGATTAGATTGTTATGAATGCAATGCTAAGAGTGTCATGGATTTTCATTACAATTTCAAGAAATGGTTGAAAGGGAATAGGTTTGACCTTTCCACAAATATTTATGGATACCCGCAGCTCTCAAAATGAGCCAGTTGGGTATTCAAACAGCGCATGCTCAGTACATGGCTATTCGGAAACAGCTACGCGTGCGTGATAGTCTGTTCTATCAGTGCAGCCACACTCAACTAACGCGCGGTTTGTTCCTGCAAAACATTGGCTTTTTGAAATACCAAACTTGCTCATTGTAGCAAATTGTCGGCAAGAGTGTGAAAGTAGAAACTGAACAAACTTTTCAACAAAAGATGTATCTTCCTATTCGCCTGTGCAAACGTGGTGTTGAAGTTTGACGGTTAGTTTTTCAGCATCGTGTGTTGAAACCATTGATGTAGTGTATCACTAAGAGAATATCTGCATATGTACCTGGGGGCGTCAAGATGCACTTGCCGTCTGGACCACGAAGCGGTCGAGCTGTCTCTATATCGCACTGAACGAGGACTATGATGTCAGTTAATGCCTGCTCGTTGACAGTTCAAAGCGATGAGGGTGAACCAGATACAAGTAGAAAGGTTATGAAGTGATTTGTTCACAAAATTATGATAATACGTAGATTTCCATAACACATTAGCTTCGTAATCGCATTCAACTGAAGAAAGCCATGCCCAAAATAGTCTAGTGAATGTTAAAGTCTTCCATAACCACTCCTGATTAAACTTAGAGATGCACAATGATAGATTCATACCCGAAATAAACCATGGTACCTTCCAGCGCTCCCAACTTTGCCGTCTAGGTTTATTGTAGCGTATGTCGCCTCGGTGGCACCGTAGAATTCAGCTATGTGGCCGATGTTGAATCGCCTCTGAAATTCTACCCATATATCGGGCCGCAGACCGTTGCCGATAGCGTAGCGGATTTTGTGAGGGTACTTACCGTCATCTGTACGCTGTTTGTTGGGACATGAGGTAAGCAGGGAAATTTCCAATGACAGGTTGGATTTTTACTGAGACAGAATATAAATTATTTTCAAGAGCAAAAATGTGAAAATGGAAACAAAAGATATCACGGACTAGTTATTATGTTATGCTCAAATTGGATATGAACTAAATCAATGCGTCATACTCTTATCCTGAACTTTTAAATTCTTTAAAATATTACACAGGATGAACAGAAAAAGTTACTGACTGAAAGTCGATAATTTATTTTTATTAAGTATTATTCATTTACCGTTGGTTGAGCTGCAAGGTAACGGCAAATTTCCCCAATGTACTGGATGACTGTGGCTCGATATCTGCTGACATCATCCCAGAATCTCCGAGCTGAGAAGTCACTCAAGGCCACAGTTCCTCCTTTAATGCATTGCAGATGTAAGGCAGACAACGCTATTAGGTCATAAAGCTGATATGCCAACATTTTCAAGTTTAAAACTGTGTCATTCTACCAAATTGACTTACACAGGTATCAAAAACCATCTCAGTGGATATTCCAACAATATAACCCGCTCACCAGTGGCGGATCCAACATATAGCCATCCATTCCGTGTCATAAATCTGGATCACAATCAACAAGGCCTACTCCCCCAAACCCATCCAACGTCGATAGCTACTATTTACCCTAAGGTCACGTCGTGCCAAGTTACATCCAACCCAAAGAGCCAGTTAGGAATTTGAACAGCTCATGCCCAGTACGAGACTATTCGGGATGAGCTAGGCCCCTACACGCGGGAGCGATAGTCTGTCCTATCAGCGCGGCCATACTCTGACTCACGCGTGCGCTTTGTTCCGGAAAAACCTTGGCTTTTCCAATTTCCAACAGGCTCTTTCCATCTTAACCATTCCATTTTCTCTGTACAAATTGCTACGCATTTCATCCCATCCTTCTGAGTACAGTGTGTTGAGTCTTCTGTTCGCGTCTATGACTTGCGCATAACCTAGTTTGTCGAGGTTTTTGTTTGTCCTTTTTGTCAAGAAGCTATTGTTTTCTCACATTATTCATAACTGGTCCGTCAAGACGCAACACACTACTTTCCTTTACCATCACACCTTCTCATGTGATCATCCTATTCCATCCCCTCCTTTTGCTCTCTTCCTCACATCTCATCCCACCTAAAACATGTCATCCCATATCATTCTTCAAACTCATTCAATCTCATCTCATTCCATGCAATTCTATCCAGCCAGTACCATCCTTTCCCATCTTGTGATTCCATCCAATCTCGCCCTGTCCCGTTTCTTCTTATCACTTCCTATCCTGCCCCGTCCCGTCCTGTTCCGTCCCGTCCTGTCCTGTCCTGTCTGATGCACCCAGTCACATCCCATCTCATCACACTCCATTCTGTTATTTATTATTACTTGAAATAGACGTTAAACGAATACGAAAGGACTTACCAACTCTCACAACATTAAAGAAGCCGACGATGAGAGCTGCACTGTGATATAGAGGCAGAGAAAGATACAACACATCCACACTGTTCAGCCCAAGTGATGCTTGCATGTACGATCCAATCAACTGCTGCGTATGAGGGCATTTCGCCGGCTTAGGAAGACCTAGGTGCAAAAGCGGAATGTTCATCGATAATGCATTGAATTGTAAAGACGCTATAGGCCTCCAGCTGGACCAAGAGAAGGCGCTATTTTCTTGGCAACTGAGGCTTCTATTACCCGAACTGAACTTCGCTGGTTCTAAGACTGAGAAATGCACGCGTCGCGGTAGCATCACTTCCAACAAATGAAATTCTCCAGACCAACCCATCTCTTTTCAACCGTTGAGGGGGGTTTTACTCGAGGCAAATTCCAACGAGAAACACCAAATTGATTTTGAAACAAGTACATGTATTTTAAAGTTTTGCTAATGCACTTGTCTTTATAGTATAAGGATTTTTCATGTTAGAGAGTTTCTCAAATCTTATAGTCTGATTTGTAAGTATGACTTAAAAGCTTGGATACTACTTTTTTGTGGTCTGAGAGTTTGTGAAAATCAGAAAGTTACTTGAGTGGCTCTCTTGAGCCCACAATGTCCAGCTTAGTACTGGTCCTGGCATAGTGCCTCAACCAGCAAACCTTCTGGAATCGGCAGGCCGGTTCACACTAAGCAGCAGTAACCCCGAGGAAAGAGTTTTAAAATGTAATTTCGGGGAGGTGCTGTATTTTTGGTGCAACACTCTCCCAACACAAAGTATCCCCCCAAATATTAAAAAAAGAAAAAGAAAAAAGTTCTTTTAAAACACGCCTACCGCTTGTCCCCGAAGTGAAGATGTACAGTGCATCGTCCTGGGCCCGCTGCTGATCTCGGACACTCCTTGGTATAGGATCACTGCTCTCATTCAACGTCTTCACATCAACTGGAATCATTCCCAAGGGAAGATCCTGATCAAGATCGTTCCCTACAACCCAGACCTTAGCACCGAGGGCTTTGAGTTCGGGCATCAGGTCAGCTAAGGCTTTCACGAGACGGTCATCTAAAAAGGGGTGATATGGACGTGTAAATGCATTTTGTATCAGGAATGTGTCGCTAACACTTTAACTCGAATTGACAGGTTGGTGTTAAAGTTGTTAGAGCGGTAATGCTTACCATTTCCACACGCAATCATCTTCATGCTGCAGGCTTTGATGCAATGAAGGAGGACATCACCTTTCAGGTTGTAGTTTAACAGCGCGATTCTCAGCCCTACCTTGTTGAAAGCCAGCCACGACACAATGAAAGTGGGCTCGTTCTGCATGAATATCGCCACGGTGTTCATACAAGCTGCCACCTCGCTTCGCTGGACAAAGTGGGCGAGTTGGTTAGCCTGTCTGTCCAGTTCAGCGTATGTGAGTATTTCATCTTTGTACAGGATGAACTCTTTATCCGGGATTCGCCTCGCGTGGGCTTCAAAGACGTCAATGACTCTGACATTCTTGCTCAGCAATGTTTCGATTTCTCTGATCGTACGAAGACGTTTGCAAAGTTCCAGCAGGTCTGCAAAGATAGTTGCACCATACTTAAGACGCAGGAACCCGGCAACTGCGAAGGGAATTCCTGCAGCAGTCGCAGCGGCCACACCGAGCATCCGGCGGTTGATTGGAATTCCCGACATAACTGAATAAATTTCACGGTCTGCACTCAAGTATAGTCCCTGCGCACCACCTTGCAAAATAGTTGAGGTAAGGTTATCGGTCTTTTAACCCTTTCCAATGAGTTCGACTTTGTACACTTGAAGCCAATTATTGTTGAGGTTATTTAAAGTGCATGTCTGTAATTGTAACTATATTGTACTCTCTCTGCCACACTTGCTATCAGGGATCGATTCAGGCACACCTGGAGAATTACTTGTAGAGAGAAGTACACTGACATAGGAATACTTTGAAATAAATCGACTTCCACAAGGAATTAAAATACTTGGGAATTTGCGCAGTCACGACGTGCTGGACAAGAAGACACATTAATTTGGGCACTCATGACAAAAGAACAAACAAACAAACTGACCAGTTACCTATCTATGAGGAGTTATGCATTTATCACTGGCGTATCCTGCAGGGGCAGGGGAAAGGTGCAAGTTGCCCTGTGCATGTTGCAAATTCTTTTGTTCTTTTTATAAGGAATTGAAAAATTATATAATGATATATAAATAACTATCTGTTAATATAGATTTCTAAAGCAAAAATTTGAAATCTTGTTTTCAAATGCAATGTTGATGGCAATGTTAATTTAAGAATCGAGTACTACCGCCTTTCAAGGGGATCTTTTATGGTGAAGAAATGGAATGCTGATTTTTGGAAATAAATCATCCCCCCCCTTCCAAAGCTTGGATATGCCTCTGGCACGCACATGTCAAAATACACAGCTAGGCTAAGTGCTAGTAAGTAAAATGATAGTTTCCAGCAGAGAATCGAAGTGTTCTGCAATTCCCTTCCTTGGTGGGAAGCATGGATTGATAGCCCCGTTTTGGTTTTAGTTGCATTATACATCTCTACTGAATTCCTTTCCAGGCGTAGACGTGGGTTTTTGCAGCTTTCCATTCTCTGGTATTTGTTTAACCTTTTAGGTTTTTAGTCGTCGATTCTTGATTCGTTTCTTTGTTTTTTTTCGGTGAGCTCAAGATCGTCGTTGGTGTCGTCTTTTGGTCTCTATGTTTTGATTTTTTTAAGACAGTGTTGGTGCATTTTGTCATGTGAGTCGTTTCACAATACTTGCCAGACACTCGCTGTACTTCTGAATGCCAGACTGTTTCACCAAGCGGATTTTCATTCTTGCTTTGGATATCAGTGGAACGAAGTGCATTTGTCAATATATATCTTGTAAAGGAGATTGTACACTATAACACAGATCTGTCATGTCATCTCTCAGCAATTAACAGACATGCGATTCAATATCATAACTCACAGTCAAATGAATTCTTTAACTAATTTGCAAGGACTCACCAGAATTCGGGTGAAATGAGTTAAGGCGAGGTGCCGGTCAATTGAGATCATTTTTTTCTGTAGTGTGTTAGAACCGACATATTAAAAACAAACTTTAATAAACTACATGTACTTTACATTTTGATGAACTTACTACACTCAGTGCTGTACCAGCCAAGAAGCAGCGTATCCAGCTTTTGGTGTCAGGGGTGGGATAGCATTGAAAGCGAATGCTACGTCGGGCTCATTCAAGTTGATGATGAATGTTGGGGGAGGAAAATATCACAAGCCTTACTCACGGTCCTCACATCCTTGCTTTTATTTCTTGGTGTTGTTTTCCTAAGGGTTTGCTAATATTTGACAAATAAATATACCGATTACTTTCTTTCCAACTCACCTATGAAGTACTCTAAATATAAAAATCCGTTTGGGGGGCCTGCAAGTTCCCACCCCGCCCCCGCTGGATACGCCACTGCAGCCAAGGGTGGGCAACTATTACTTATTACTATAAAAAAATACTCTGCCAGTGATTAAAATAAAGTATTAGTGAGACCATGCGACAGACAGTAGTGGTGGCCTTAAAATGATTGTTCTCATTTGAACTAGCCCTCATAGATTGAAGCCCTTTTCTTATTTGAATTTATGAATCTGCAAAATATGAGCCATATGCAAGGCCAAAATTTGTAGTGGTATGAGATAAATTAGGCACCATTTTTAGAACATTGCCAAGTTAGGCCTAAGGACCAATTTGATGTCCGTGTTTGGTAGATTTTTATCTGATGAAGCATGACAGGTTACACGATTTTAGTTGTTTTCTCTGTTAGCATTTACCTATCTCTTCATTGTTTATAGTCTGGCATTCCCAAGAACGATTCTTTGCATGGCCTCGTTGTCCAAGGGTGCGTAAGTCTTCTTCTCCTCATCCATGAAGAAGAGAGGGTCAGATATGACATTGGGGTCAAATCCCTCACGGGCGAGGTCAGTCTTCTTGTGTTTGAATGTACCTGTGATGTCCATCTCTCCTACGATTCGCAGAAACTTTGGACATGCGTAGAGCGGCAATGACCTGACCACGTGATCGTAGAAGGCCTTTGGGTCAAAATGATAGTCCTTCTTGAAGACGACTGCCCCCATACCTGCCTTTCCGTCGCAACCTGAAATCGAAAGAAATTCTCAAAGTAAATAAAAATAGATTACCAACTGACTCGAGAATCGTAGAGCAGTGGAAACAATATCAAATCACCTCAACCAACAACATACCACACCATTTTGGTATCGTGGCAAATCGACCATCCGGCTATGATTATCACGTACAGAAAATACAAACAGAAAGGCAAAAGTAACGTTCCTTCAACAATGGTAAATGCTTGCCCCGAGCGCCATCCCCGCTGGATGTGCCTTCATATCAGACCGAACTATGGACTACACGCCTGATGTGTCTACAGCGAAAACAATTCCTACCTGGGACCTCCACGCCATACACGTTGCTTTCCTGTATGCCCGGGTATTGGTTCAAGATTTGAGATACCTCTGTTGTCGCAACATTCTCACCTTTCCATCTGTAGAGGAGGGAAATGGTAATGTAACTTTATATTCTATATAAAACAGTCTGATTTTTTCAAGGTTGGAAAAAAGGTATTTATAGGACGCGCCTTCCTACCTGAAAGTGTCTCCAAGTCTGTCCTTGAAATAAAGGTAACCATCTTTGTCGTGGACCATCAAATCTCCAGAGTTGAAGAATAGGTCGCCACTTTTCTTGACATTTCTGACAAGTTTCTTTTCATGCGCACTCTCCGGGGCCAGGTAGCCGTGGAAGGAGTCCTCGTCCTTGAGTCGAAATAGCATCAGTCCAGTCTCGCCTGCACGTTCAAAATTCAGAAAGATCTTTACCTGGTCGTGGCTTGTATCAGATAACTAAGACAGTTTGAAAAGGTTGATAATAATCATAGAGCTGCATAAAAATTCAGTATAGCTCTATGATTGTTAAACAGTTATTTACCTTTTCATTTTGCTCTGATTTTTGCCGCACGATTATTCCGAAATTCATTCTATTTTAACAAGGGAAATTGGGTTTCGATTGTTCACAAATTATCGAGGATACATGCAAGCCGTGACAAAATCTTCAGTGAGAGGATTGCCTCGGGAAAAAAACAAATAACATACCACCTTTCTTAGTTCCTCTTCACTTTTCAGTACCACCTTTCTTAGTTCCTCTTCACTTGTCAGTAAAGTTTTATATAACTAATCCGCACATATATGCGTTCTGAAACTTCCAATGCACGTGCACTCGGCAAGTCACAACACCTGATCGAGTTAGCGACTTTGTCACGGGAGCTTACGCGCTACTGATTACAAGCTCTTCCCATTGGATGAACACTAACGTTGCGCGTTAATTAACTACCAAATTCCATGGTAAATTAAGTGTAACTCCATGAGCGGTAGAGGTGGTTTAAACATACATGACGTCGCAATTATAAACTCTGACTTCGAGGTCAATTGTTAAACCCTTACTGCAATGTGAGCTAAATCCTCCTTTGGGCTGCATAACACAGTCAGGAGAGAGTTTTTACGTACCTGGAGGCGTGAGGATACATTTCCCGCCTGGACCACGAAGTGGTTGAGCTGTCTCTAGGTCACACTGAACAAGGACTACGATGTCAGTTAATGCCTGTTCAAAATAATGTCAATAATTAATATTTCGGCTGGCTATAGTTGCGAAGTCAATAAAAAAAGTGAATTTATTTGACTTCATGTAGCAGTTACAGTTAAAACGTACTGTGTTGAGGAAATAGGCACACACGACGAAAACCTTTCACAAGACTTCACAAACCCTATCTTGCCTAAACATAAAATTTTACAGTAAGATTCCTACCCTGTAAATGCCATGATATCTTCCGACACTCCCTATTTTGCCGCCATTGTTCGTCAAACCGAACGGCGTTTCGGTGGCTCCGTAGGATTCAACGATGCGGCCGATGTTGAATCGCTTTTGAAACTCCGCCCAAGTATCGGCCCGTAGGCCGTTGCCAATAGCATAGTGGATTTTGTGAGGGTACTTGCCATCATCAGAACGCTGTTTGTTGAGACAAAGAGAAAAATTAATATCACCCCCAAGCAAAAAAAAGTCTTGTGCTTAAAGTGTCAATAACAGGGCAGAAGACGAAACTGTAACATTTAAATACGTGGCAAACGTCAATTTCTAAATCTGGTATTTGTGGGCATGACACTCGCCACAAGTTTTCCGGGGGGCAAGCTATTATTTTATGGTGGGAGAATTTCAAGTGGGAAAAACTCTTATCAGCCCAAAAGCGCAGATGTATAAAGAACACCAGGAGGGTCAATTTTGAGGGCTTTGTATCTTTTTTCCATACAACTTCGTGATATTCGTCCCGTTTCATCTCTATTTTTTTTTCAGTTCTTTCGCTTCCCCTTTTTCCTTTTTTTTAATTTCCAATTATTAACAGCACTTCCTTACACTGCCCCCAACGCTTATATCTGCAGGTGTAAATGAAGGTAGAATGTTCAGGTCCAAGATTAATTCAACTTATAATGTCACTTACCGGTGGCTGCGTCAGTAGGTAACGGCAAATCTCCCCGATGTAATGGATGACTGTGGCACGGTATCTGCGGACATCATCCCAGAATCTCCGAGCTGAGAAGTCACTCAAGACAATGGTTCCCCCTTTAAAGAAAGACAGAAGGACAGATGGATGTAAATAGCTAGATAACAGATCTAGTGACGTGTATAATAAGGAAACGCAACTCAAAATTAACACATCTTGGTGCATCCTATCTAGTAACGCCTAGCCTGTAAATATTGTCCAGTCCACGGGATACTACTTTCTATCCCTTGTACCAGGCTATGGAGGCAGTTCAAAGCGCCTGTATTGTATGTTCAGACACTTTACCAAGGCCCATCCATCAAATCCGTTTTCCTTACAATTGCTCTCTAGCTTTTCCATCACCTATTGCCACCTCTCGTGCCTCGATCCCAACCACCTCACCTTGTTTCACCACATTTATTACATTTCATTGGATATGGGCACAAATCCCCGGGGGATGATGGCATATAGATGCCACCTTTAGAGAACAGTGCTTTTGTTCCACAAGGTACGCACAAATGAGGTTTCCCTGTGGAACAAAAAACTGCTCTGCAATATGGCTACCACGCAAATCCTCTATACCCCCAACACTTTCTGACCGGGGAGATGGGCAATCGAATCACCCCCCCTCCCCTTCCTTTTTTCGTGGTGAGAAAAATTATTAATTCGGAATTTTTCGGACTTCCAATCAACAAAAATGCACTCGATATGACCGGACAAGGAAAACAAGTTTTAAAAAACCAAAAATATGCCAAACCCCATCAGTCGCGCCTTGTTCCATTTTAAACTGAAGCTTTGGGAATGACTCACCGACTCGCACAACATTAAAGAGGCCGACAACAAGTGCAGCGCTATGATACAACGGTAGAGTGGTGTACAGCACATCCTGGCTGTTCATTCCAAGTTGGGCTTGAGCGTAGGAACCACCTAATTGACGAGTATGGGGAAATTTGGCTGGCTTGGGTAGACCTACATCAAAGGAAAGATCCAAGGTTACTCGGACCAGCGTGAGACTTCTGCCATATCACTGTGTCCCCACGCGGACTCCTGTGCTTGCTTTGTTTCCCAATGGCCTTGGCTCTTTTGAATTTTATAAATTGGCTCATTACGAGTGTCGTTGCCAATGGCCTTTTAAAGCTTCCTTAATCTTTTAATTTTAAAGACTCCCTTTACTTGAAAAATCTTTTACCTGTGATTGGTGAAATACTGAATTCGAGGCTCACTGAGCTCAAGAAATATTCGAAAATAAAACAAGTGTTTGGGAAGTGTGTATACCGGTGGTTCCCGAAGTGAAGATGTAGAGTGCATCGTCCAGGACCGACTGCTGGTCTCGCACACTCCTTGGTAAAGGATCACTGCTCTCATTCAACGTCTTCACATCAACTGGAATCATTCCCAAGGGAAGATCCTGATCAAGATCCTTCCCGACAACCCAGACCTTAACACCGAGGGCTTGGAGCTTGGGCATCAGGTCATCTTGGGCTTTCAAGAGACGGTCATCTAAAAGATGGAAATAAAAGTCAAAACTGCGAGTATATTCCAGCTGACTTGTAGCATAATATCAATCATAGAATTGGAGGAGCACGTTTCAATGCTTACCCTTTCCACACGCAATCATCTTCACGCTGCAGGCTTTGATGCAATGAAGGAGGGAATCACCTTTCAGGTTGTAGTTTAACAGCGCGATTCTCAGCCCTAGCTTGTTGAAAGCCAGCCACGACACGACGAAAGTGGGCTCGTTCTGCATGAATATCGCCACCGTGTCCATACAAGCTGCCACCTCGCTTCGCTGGACAAAGTGGGCGAGTTGGTTAGCCTGTCTGTCCAGTTCACCGTAGGTGAGTACCTCATCTTTGTACAGGATGAACACTTTATCTGGGGTTTGTTTCACGTGTGCCTCAAAGAAGTCAATGACTTTGAAGTTACTCTTTAGCAAGGCTTCAATTTCTGTCAAAAGATTTAGACCCCTGCGAATATCCAGCAGGTCTAGAAAGACCGTCGGACCGTACTTCAGGCGCAGGAACCCAGCAACTGCTACGGGAATGCCCGCTACCATCGCAGCGGCCGCACCAAGTACCTGGCGGTTGATTGGAAAGTCCGACATGACTGAATATTAATGTACGATGCGGTGTCTAGGTATGTCACTTTGTAATAAGAGAGGAAAAGCCTTCGTATAATGAAGTTGGATATGGATATCTAACCCTTCGATATAACTTGAACTTTACACACCTGGTTAATCGGGTCATTAAAGTGGCAACTCAAAGTACACGTTTATTTTTATCATTCGGCCACCTTGTCGTTGTTGTTTTGTTTCATGTAAATACGTCTTCCAGACAGTGCAACGTATCAACCTTAAAGCCGGCATGGGCATGATCACCAGTCCTGATCCCAAGCTGTTTAGTAAATCGGTGTGATGTGATAAATGATGTTACTACAAGCGAAATTAAAGGTGATTGGTACAAAAACTGATCGTCTTTCAGATGCTTCCTTTGAACTAATTTGACCGCTTTTGAGTAATGCTGCGTATTTTGTCGGGGAGCACAGTGACTTGATTTTACTTCCTGGTTGTTATGTCACATTTAGGTAAACTTTGAGAACTGGGGAGGTCTCATTTAACATGGGCGTATATCTTCCACAGGAATGATGACACCAACATGAAACCTGGTGCAAATTTGAAGCAAAAAAATTGTTCAAAATATCGTAAGGCCTCTATAATGTTATAACTTGGAAAATTATGAGCAGTTTAAATCAATCAGAAAGGAAGGAAATCTTTAATAAACAACAAAACTAAATGACACCCCACTTTGCACACTGTCAGGGAAGTGGCTGACATGTTAATTAATATTTCAATATTTTCTGGAACAATAAATTCATTTAAGAATTGACACAGGCCTACCGAGCCCAACTGTGATGACATTTGTAGCAAATCAAAACAAAGATTTAAAAAAAATTAAAGCCCTCTTGCTGTATATTTTCAATCCTTTTGCTTATTATGCATTCAAGAAATGGTAACACAGAAACTGAATTACTTTACGAAAATTATAGAAAGGAGGGGGGTTGAGCTGGATCCTTTTTTCAATTAGGTATTGAATTATGCACGCATGCTCAGAACAATACGCCAATGCTCAGAACTGGTAACAGGAACGGTATATTTGTGGCCGCCAAGTGTTTCAAAGTTTCATAGGGTCTGATTCAGAAGTAGCAACTGGTTGGTTTTTTTTCCGGTGTAATTCTGTTTAACTCTTCGTCAAATAACGACTGGACAATGAGGCAGGGAGGCCTAGGAATTGACCCATACATCTGGTCACGTTTAAGTAATTTATTCACCCCAGATTTTCAAACATTCTTGTTTCATTTTATAAGCTTTAACGAAGAATGCCATTCTCTTCACTTTTCGCCTTTTTTTAACTTGTATTTTCTTTGGCCTTGAGAAAAAAAGAGCTACAAACTTATTTAGTTCTATTCTGATTTTTTTTCTGGAAAAAGTAGATACAGACTTGTATATATAAGTCTGGGGTATTTTCCAACGTTCCCGACTTTGCCGTCTAGTTTCAAGGTAGTGTATGTCGCCTCAGTGGCACCGTAGAATTCAGAGATGTGACCAATGTTGAATCGCTTCTGAAATTCTACCATATATCGGGCTGCAGACCGTTGCCGTTAGAATAGCGGAGTTTGTGGCTGTACTTGCCATCATATCAATGTGCTTTTTATTTTGTGGAAAAAGTGGGAGTGAAAAAAAAATTGTAAAAGTGTTTAAGGGGGCTCTCATAGCTAGTCAAAAATATATCAGTATTAAACCATTACCAATGATTTATTTACAAAAAATAATAGTAGGCCTGTTCAGTCTACCTTCAGTGGATATTTTCATAACGCTCTTTTCAACAATTATGTTACAGATTTAGTGCTTGAATGTTACAATCACACACCATGCAAGGTAGTAAGCAAATATATATACACTAAAAGTCGGGGCTCGATCCGAAACAACATGACTCTCCAAATTCACATGTTGGCCCTGCAAAAGACGAATCACAATACACACTTGAAGGGTGACCCTTCTTAGTTTCGGATACCCGTCACGATTTTTCGTCTAGCTCCCATCCAATTCAAACCTTTGACTGGTTCGACCCCTTCCACCCCATTCTAGTTTGTGCATGGGATTGGTGGGTTGTTGATCATGTGAACTATTAACTTGTCGCAAAGGGCGATACGGCAACATGAAAAAATCAGAAACTCCACTCTACCATTAAATTGAAATTCCATTTGTCTGTCACAAAAATTTCTGAATTGGGATTTATTTAGACACTGAACAAAGTACAACAAATGCTTCACGCTCTTCAAACGAAATTATCCTTGTCCAACTCAACTCGCTTAAAAGCATCCATCACTTTCATTCCAATTCACAATCGATCATCTTATTCCATTCTATCTTTTTCTAGCCCATCCAGCCTTCCCGGTTTATCACGTCCATTCTACCCAGTCCTCTACCATATAATCAATTCAATCCTATCCCACTAAATCCAATTGACTGAATCAACCCAACTCCACACTGCACCCCATCCTAAATACCATCCCAATCTAAAAACCGACCCAAGCCAATCTAAGCCCACTTAAAAACAGAAAGAACAAACAGATCAATCGAAAAGTAAACTGGAGGGCATGTCGTTTCGATCCTAGCAGGATCTTTTTCAAAGGTAAAATGACTAATAGGTAGGACCATGGAGCTATAAATCAGCACGAGTTATAACGAAGTCCTTACAGACCGTAATCCAATTAACCGCTCTTGTCGGCTCCATAGACAAAGCGTGGTTACCGGCCCCAGTGTTAAAAACATGGACATTCTTTGTACAAAGTGATAGCCACCGCCGAGTAGCTGGTAACCCATACGGGTTTCGCTGCGGCATACTGGAGCAAATAAACGGTGGAAAAGATGCGCGAAGAAGATGCGCAGTTTTCGTCTGTATTCCTCAGGAGTCAGCGAGTGATCCCGCAGATGCGCTCAAATATTCCGAATTAGCGGTGGTTATTTGGAAAAAGTCGGACGTTATTAAAGTCAGTTGTGACATTTTGCGGTTCGGACGGTGGGGAAAAGTACCTAAAATACGAACTGTGATATTTAAGTCGCAATCCTAGTGGTTCCTGCGGTTAAAAGAAAGTGGAAACATGCCACAGGAATGCATTTGACAACATGGCGAGGTTTCATGCCTGGCAAATCCAAACGGATCAAACGGATCCGAAGACGCGGGAGTTTGTATCTGTTATCGGCGACTTCTGACGGGAGCGGGAGCTGGAGGACGAATAACAGTGGGCGAGGTCTAGCACTCCACAGATGACTTGCAATAGAAGGCTGTGGTACCGGCGGGAAGACCATGGCAAGACGGAAGACCATAGTTAGCGGTGATGGAACCTGGTCTCGCCCTGGCGACACGGCAACGAAGAGACGGTCCAACGCAGACGACAGGAAGGCATGATGATGTCCTGTGCCCATGCAAGGAGGAAAAATCCCTGCTTGTCCACCCCAGCAAACTGAAAGCTCAGAATCCGCCAAGGTGTGAAGTTCCAACTTTTTTTAAGTATACCAGGCAAGATATGGGGCGGAGGGGTACCCCCCTTACCTGCCCAATCCATATACACACTCTAGACTATTGTTACCTAACACATCCCACCTAGAAGTTTGCAAAGAATTCCTGAGATTCCGATCAACCAATGACCAACACAAAGGCGGAGGGGTTCTCTCCTTCCCATGTCTTGTTTCAAATGTTTTAAAGTCCAGTAGGAAATTCCAAAGTCCATTTCACTAGTCAAGGACGCGTCGGATCGTGGCACAGCAGCAAATAACATTTATAGAACAATAACAGTCAGCGAGGTAAAATATGCCAGTCGCAGAGCGATTGGCCCACTTAATTTGCATAACCTTCGCAAAACCTTACATTACTGAAATTTAACAGATTCTCAGCACCAGTGACAGGAAAGACAACGAATCTGTCCATGCTTTTTATTTTTAATTTTTTTCCCTCTGGACCAGCTACATTCTTTCATTTTTCTTGTTGCGTATTTTTGTAGAATTTGTGTTAATAGTAATTCTGTTTATGGTTAAGTTAAGAGAGACGTTTTATGGATGTAAAGACGTAACCAGGCTTTCATTATCATTGGAATATCAGAACAATCACTAAAATTATCGAAACTTAAAGTCCCGATGACGGTGGTTTCCATGTTGAACGTGTGGAAGTGCTACGGACACGCAAGCGCGGTACCCACAATCCTTTGCAAATTCAACTCCGAGCATTCCTTACGGCCCGCAAGCGGCGCGGAATTTGTTTTGTCCTTGCAGCACGTGCAGTGCTTGCGGTGGCCATCACTGACTCTTTTGATCTCTAAATGTACTTACTCCTTGTGTGTAATAGCTCCATGGTTCTAATGATTCAGATTTCTCCCGTTATACCATGACGCTACTATGCACATACACAGGAACTGACGAGGCATTTGATTGCAAGGGGACACAGCTATCACCAGGTTCAACGCTCTATCAACAGGGCCCGCTCTGTCCCTAGAAGTCTTGCGCTCAAGGAGAAGACCCCCGTGAAGAAACCATCCAAGGGTTCCCTTGGCAACCACTTTTCATCTTCCTCCCCTTCGCAAACTAATCAACGATAATCATCATATCCTCCACACCTCAGACCGTTTGTGACAATGGCTACAAGCACTGGCCACACTCACAAGTGTTTATCCACTACGAACACAGGGCAAAGGTTCCACTTGTTTTCTCTGTTTTCTCCGAATGACGCAATCCACATTCAAAATTCGCATCTTGGCATGAACAAAAAAAGCCCTTTTTAGCTTGTTGAGCTCCGAAGACAAATGACACTGGGTTCGATTTGGATATTTATTTGAACTGATAAAATCACAGAAAACATGTTTTCCTTAGAAGTGCTCTTTAAGAAAGATTCTGCTGGAATTAAACGTCAGGTCCTCCATATTTTCTGATTTATATTTTAGGTCCCTGTAGTCAGCAAGCAGTTTGCAGCAGTTTTGTATTACAAGACTAAATTGGCCACATGATCTCACCTGCTTTGACAATATTGGAGAAGCCTATGGCGAGGGCGCCGCTGTGGTACAAAGGAAGATTAGTGTACATGATGTCATCACTGCTTATCCAGAAGGGGGACTTAGAAGCAAGAAGCAGTAATCTGATAAGAATGTGGGAATTTGGCTGGCCCGGCTTGGGAAGCCCTGTAAATAAACACGATCGTATATTTTCTTCATCATAGATTCTCTCCCCTGCTGTCCAAAGAATCACCGGCTGATGTCACTCACCCAAAACAAAACCTTCTATACTTGTACACCTACAGGGACAAATTGACACATCTTCGTAAATTAGCGAATTGAGTGAAATCTATAAACCTTTGAAATCTACCAGACTGAAACTTTTCTGTTTCATTTCACTGCTCTTCATCGAGTATCAAAGAAACAAACTTTTCTGGATATGATTTTCTAATGCCTAATTCATCTGATGCTTCTTAGTCATCGATAGCCTATCTTTAGCATTTGCTGCAGTATTCCTGGACACTTCTTTCCATTATTTCCAAGCTACTTCTTTCCATTATTTCCAGGAATACCACTTCCTTCTCTTGTTGAGATGGGCAATAATATCTACAGTTTGAAACTATTTTCCTTTTGAGAGAACTTTTCCTAGCTCATAGTTAGAGTCCATTGGAAGTGTACTTGCCAAACACAACATTTTACTACATGTACCTGCTATCCCTGAGGTGAGAATGTACAATGAATCGTGAAAGATCGGCTGCAGTTGCTCCTTCGTATGGGATCACTGCTCTCATTTAGCGTCTTCACACCAATGGGAATCCTTCCCGAGGGAAGATCCTGATGGGTAATCCTTCCCAGCAACCCAGACCTTAACACCGAGGTCTTGGAGCTCTGGTATCAGGTCTGTTAGAGCTTTCAAAAGAGGTTCATCTGTACAA